GAGCGCCCAGATACGCCTTCAGAATTTGCCTGCAGAGACCCCTTCTTTGGTATCGCGGCTCGCTGTTGAATACCTTACCATACCAGTATGGAATACAGAATACAAGTAGGTATCGCTGCACATATATATATTGTGTTTATATCTATGGTCCAGAGGGCCTGAATTAACCTTAATAGACGGAGCTTCAGACGTCACTGATCACGTGACTTAGACTAAACTAGTCAAGCTCCAACTCATCGCTTCTGAGTCATTGTTTATGCGCCTTAGCTTCAGCTTCAAACGGACCGTCTCTACTTTTTATCGATTTATAAACTTTCTGTAACGTTTGGAGTAAATCCAGCTTCTTGAGTTCGGCTCAGTAACTGTTAAAGGAAACTTTAAATCAACGAAAGCCAACAGATGTGGAGACGTCAGGCTAAACAACGATTCTGGAAGCAGCAGGTGAAGAAATATTGAAGTTTCTGGACAAAACAGGCCCAGATCATGAAGAGGAACTGTCTCGTTTAAAAGAAAAACTGCAACAAAACAAAATCCTGGATGCTGTTTGGAACCCCAGAGTTCTTCTGCACAGATTAGGTTTGTATAAATAAATTCATCTTATTTGGTGTGATGATGTTAGCTGCAGTTTTGGTAGCTAAGTGACTTAGCATCTTTAGAGTGTTGAGATATTTATCTAGACTGGTCCTATGGTTTTGATCTGCTCAGAGACGGGATTATAATGAAAGCCAGCTCCCGTCTTTAACAAGAGGATTATGTGCTGTTGCAGTTTTACCGCTTTTATTTTTAAAATCCAGCCAGAACCTTGTGGATGGATCACTGTATTTTAGGATTGAACTGCAGGCTCCAACAGAGATGAGTGTTGGTAGTTTGTCTGTAGGTGTTCCACGCTGAGGGGGCAGTAAAGCTGAACGCTGTCAAGATTAACACTTAACAACAATTATGTTTGCGCAACATTATAGCAAAGGTGTGTCTCAGTTTAACTTTTCCTTAATAAATATTGTTCATATCAGCTGCATTTCAAGAATCGATTCACAGGAGCGGCAGAGGGAGGATTTGCTGTGCATTTCTTAGAAATTTACCAATATAACCACCTAAAAACAATTGTTAGTTTGCTCGACATTATAGTAAAAGTGTGCCTCAGTTGAACTTTTCCTTAATAAATGCACTTTGATGGTCAGCTGCATTTCACCTGGGCGGCGCGGTGAAATCCAGCTTATTTGACGTTTGCTCCAGAAGTTCTGGAGAGAGACGGTGGCGGCTTTGTATGGCAAGACAAGTGTCTCATTAAGAGATACTTGGCTTGCCATATTAGTTCAGTGCCCTCTAGTGGCTGAAAATGGTAGTGTTCAATATTTTCCATGTCAGAATGAATGAAATCGTCAGATCTCAGCCAAAAATTTGGTTATAAATATGGGGAAAAAACAAATGCGTCACTTTGCTGTATAAGTTGCAGGCATGGTAATTTATGCAAAAACCTGTGACTTACATAGCAAAATTTATGGTAAGTTTGCCAGCACGGTGGCGCAGTTGGTAGAGCTGCTGCCTCTCAGCGAGCAGGTTACTTTAGTTCAAATCCCAATCTAGGGGCCTTTCTGGTTGGAGTTTGCATGTTATTTCCGTGCATGCTTGGGTTTTCCCCAGGTATTCCAGTTTCCTTCCACAGACCAAAAACATGTATGTTAGACTGATTGGTAACTCTAAATTGTTGCTAAGTGTGAGTGAGAGAGTGAATGGTTGTTTGTCTGGTTTGTCTATGTGGCCCTGTGATGGACTGGAGACCTGTCGAGAGTGATCCCTGCCTCTCGCACAGTGACTCCTGGATATGGGTACCAGTGACCCCCATGACCCAAAAAGAAAGAAGCAGGATGGATGGATAAAGCTCTGTTCAATCTGGAGCTGGTTTATTATGGAGGCAAGTAAAAAGGCTCTACGTTCTCCTAATATGATATATTTGCATTTTCTCACAGCTGATTAAAAATCTGGAACAAGTTTAGAAGACTCTGCAACATGGTTAATTTGTTCCTTAAAGAACCGACTGAAAGCTCTACATTTTTACCATCTTCTGGGAGTCAGCCATAAGGACCTCTCTCTTTTATGGATTAAAGCCGTATTCACACAGGATTAGTTTTACCTAGGGACCACATGAAATAAATAAATTACTCCCCAACGTCTGTTTTTTACGTGGTGCACTCGCACGGGATAACCAAAGCCTGAGATTTAGGTGAAATTTACGGACATCTTCCAGATATTACGTTAACACGCTGTGTATTGCGTAACAATAACGTTACATCATTCATGTCAGTCACGTTATGTTCAGGCTACAGTCACTCGGTGCTGTGTTACTGCCAGCCCTAGCCAGCTGTATAGTAGTCTACAAACAGAAGAAAATTATTCTTACCGCACAGAGCAATGCATGATGTGAGCCACCATTTGAATATGATTTTGCTCCTTCTTTTCAGCCTTTTCTTTTTTGGGGACCGTTGGGGGTCGATAGGCTTTTGCTGGTCCGAAACACAAAAGGTTATTTATGCACTCCAATGCAGACAAAAGCAAATAAAAAATACGCCGAGGAAATAAAAAAACGCATAATTATCTGTCGGATCCCACACTTTTCTATCCAAATAACAGAGATGCCTATTCACATTGGATTAGAATTATCACAGGACCTCAGAGTTCAGCAAAATACAGTAGGTAATTTGAGGGGGGAATTTTTACTTTACAAATTACTGACATGGCCGATTCGCACGGGATTAACAACACAGACTATCTTCGTGATTATTACAAATAGCATGTGGTCCCTAGGTAAAACTAATCCCGTGCGAATAGGGATTTAGTTTCAGGACATTTTTCTGACGTCCAGCATTAGATGTTTTGAGTTGATCAGTGAACTCTGTGATAACACCAGTAATGTTTGTGTGAATATAAAGTTATAACTGTCCTTGTTGTTCATGTGTTTCAGTGTTTCCTGCTGATGTTCAGCAGATGGTGCTGATTAAAGAAGAAGCTCCTGAAAAATGGAGTTCTGGTCAGAAGGACCCAGAGACCCTCAACATAAAAGAGGAAGAGGAGGAACTGAAGATCAGTCTGGATGTAGAGCAGCTCAGTGTGAAGGAGGAGACTGATGACACCAGGTTCTCCTTCACTGCAGTTCATTTGAAGAGTGAGGATGATGAAGAGAAACCTCTGTTCTCTCAGCTTCATCAGCACCAAGTGGAAGATGGAGATCTTCCAACCAGCAGCTCAGCTGACCAGATGAAAGCAGCAACTGGTGGAGAAGATTGTGGAGGATCAGAAATATCAAGGCTTCTGGAAAAATCAGCTGCAGATTATGAAGAGAAACATTTTTATTTAAAGGAAAAGGAGCAACAAAACCAAATCCTGGATGATGATTTCAGTCACAACTTTCATCACTACAAATTAGGTTTGTATATTTGGATCAACTGTGATGATGTTTGTAACATTTTAGTCACAGTTTTAATGAAGCTGACAAACTTAGTCTTTAAGAAGAACTTGTATAAACAACATTTGTGTTTGTATCTTATATGTGATATGTTAGTAATATGTGTAAAAACATATTACTTGGGGGGAGGGGTTAGATTTTGTTTGAGTAAAATTTAGGTGTAAAATTAATTTTTAGATTTTTATTTGCTTTTATCCCTGGTAGCACTTTGTAATGACAGTGACAATGACCTGAATCTCTGGGACCATGGTCATCTACCACTCTCAAACAGGTCCTCCAACATGAACAACTCTGACTTTCAGCTCAACAAAACTGCTATGCAGGAAATATTGTACTTTCTCTAGTGCACATGTGTTAAACTCGAGGCTTACAGGCCAAATCTGACCCTTCTCAACATCTTATCTGTCCCCTCAAGATTATATTTTAAATGTAAATTACTTTTATTGCTTCTCATTTTGCCAAAAAAATTATAAAATACTTAATTTTGTGCAGATTTCTCATGACAGTTTCTTAGATTTGAAGCTAGGAAAAAAAAGCATTTTTCAATAATCTTTAAATTAGATGTGGAATGAGCAGCAGGGAACGTCAAATGAGATCAATCCTTGTTGATGAACCTGCATCCAAGAAAAGATGTCTGGTATTTGACTTGAGTGAATGTATCGACTGAAATTGGCCTGTGGCTTAGACCAAGTTTTTAATTTTGGCACTACAGATTTTGTAACAGTTTGACACTCCTGCTCTAATGTTTCCAGTGACAGTTTTCATATCATGAACAGTTTCCCAGCACAGCTGGTAAGTGTTGCCATGGACCAAGTCCTGTAAAAACATGTTAACACAGTTATGATGTTGACATTTCCAATGTCACTTCAGTATTGATCCATCTAAACTTTTGCATGGAAAAGTCAAATCTAATTTATTTATATAGCACATTAAATAAAAATGGCTGTTGGGTAAAGTGCTGCACACAAAGCAACAAATTACTACACCACCAGATAATTTGTATGAGATTTTAGAAACAGCTCTAGACTGTCTAGATCTGTAGAAGCACTGCGGTTAGTATTTATTATCAAGTAATGACATTCATGCCCATGGTTAGTGTGTTTCAACATCTGATCAGAGCTGTGAGTGTGCTGCCAAATGCAGAAAATGATTGAGCAGCATGTGGAGCAGAAACAATGTGTTGCTGATGAAATATTAAATCTGGACAGAGTCCAGAGTTATAGTTTGTATCACTGTTTGGAAAAATGATTGAGTCTTTTCCTGTCAGCATCAAATGATAATTATAAATTGAAATATAATTTTATGTACCTTTAAAGTTGGCAATTCATCATGCGATCTTGGTGTTTAGTGTTCTGTTGTTCATTTTTTTTACCAAAATGAGCAACAGTCAAAAACTCAAACTGTCTCCTGTTTTCAGTTTGGTTCTCTTGAGTATTTATCTTAAATTTCAGCACAAAACTATTAAAGAATAACAAGATATAGATGAGAAAGCTGGACTCCTGTTGTTGCGCTTGCTGTACCAGTGTATCCTGGGATTTGTAGTTTTAGTTGTCAAGTCATCAGTCTTCTCCGTGATTGTGTAGCCTACAGAACTAGATTGAGAGACCATTTAAAGGCATTTACAGGTGTTTTGAGTTAATTAGCTGATTAGAGTGTGGCACCAGGTGACTTCAATATTGAACCTTTTCACAATATTCTAATGTTCTGAGATACTGAATTTGGGGTTTTCATTAGTTGTCAGTTATAATCATCAACATTAAAAAAATAAACATTTAACATATATCAGTCTGTGTGCAATGAATGAATATAATATACAAGTTTCACTTTTTGAATGGAATTACTGAAATAAATCAACTTTTCCATGATATTCTAATTTTATGACCAACACCTGTACACCTGCTGGTGGATATTTTACACGAAATATGGCTGGTCTTTACCTTGACATGTCTGATCTGTTTGTTTTACCATCTTCTGATAGCCGGTCAGGATGTCTGGCTCACTGGATTTGTTTCAGGAGGTTTTTCTGACGTCCAGCATTTGATGTTGTTTTGAGTTGATCAGTAAACTCAACAAATGATGTTTGTGTGAATATAAAGTTGTAACTGTCCTTAATGTTTGTGTTTCAGTGTTCCCTGCAGATGTTCAGCAGACGACGTTGATTGTAGCAGAAGCGTCTGAAGAACGGAGGTCTGAAGTGGCTGAGAAGGACCCAGAGCTCCTCCATATGAAGCTTCAGCAGCAAGATCTTCCAACCAGCAGCTCAGCTGACCAGATGAATGGAGCAACTGGTGGAGAGGACTGTGAAGGAGCAGGAACTACCAGGAACCCTAATCTAAATATTAATGAAGATGATTCCAACTCTTCAGAGACTGAAGTCAGTGAGGATGAGGATGATGTCAATTATCCTGATTCTCAGCTGAAAGACTCATCAGACTCTGTAACAGAACTTGAAAACCATGACAAAGCCTGGAAGGAGAGCAGGACTCCTGAGTCAGGTGTAAACACCGTTAACAAATCTTGCAGCTTCTCTGAGTGTGAGAAGCAATTTATCCACAAGGAGTCTGTCCAGAGAAACAAGACGGGTCATTCAAGAATAAAGTCCTCAAGTTTGGTTAGTAAGAAATGTTTTAGAGGGAAGAAAACTGGAGGCCTAAACAAAAAAATCCAGTCAAAACAGAAATCATTTAATTGTGACGACTGTGGAAAAAGATTTAACAGAAAAGATAGTCTAAACAGACACATGAGAATTCACACAGGAGAGAAACCATTTGCTTGTGATCTTTGTGAACACAAGTTTAGAGAAAAGTCCAATTTAAACTCGCACATGAGAATCCACACAGGACATAAACCATTTGCTTGTGATGTTTGTGGACAAACGTTTGGACTAAAGTCACATTTAAACATACATATTATGATCCACACAGGAATGAAACCATTTGCTTGTGATCTTTGTGAACACAAGTTTAGAGAAAAGTCAACTTTAAAGCAACACATGAGAATCCACACAGGACATAAACCATTTGCTTGTGATGTTTGTGGACAAAGGTTTGGACGGAAGTCGATTTTAAATTCACACATGAGAATCCACACAGGACAGAAACCATTTACTTGTGATGTTTGTGGACAAACGTTTGGACACAAGTCAACTTTAAACAGACACATGACAATCCACACAGGACAGAAACCATTTGCTTGTGATGTTTGTGGACAAAGGTTTAGACTAAAGTCACATTTAAACAGACACATGATAATCCACACAGGACAGAAACCATTTGCTTGTGATCTTTGTGGACAAAGGTTTGGACTAAAGTCAAATTTAAAAGTACACAGGAAAGTGCACACAGGAAGAATAAACAGTTTAGCTGTAAATATTTTGACAGATCCTAAAGACACTTAGGTTCTCACCCTTTTTAAACTGACCAACTTCAGTGTTTCTTGTTAAATAGTACGTGTGGTGTGGAAAATTGTTTTCCATAATTGAGGAGGAGACCCAGGACACGCTGGAGGGACTATGTTTCTTGGCTGGCTTGGGAACGCCTTGGGATTCCCCCGGAGGAGCTGGCCCAAGTGGCTGGGGAGAGGGAAGTCTGGGTCTCACTACTTAGGCTGCTACCCCCATGACTCGACTCTGGATAAGTGGAAGAGAATGGATGGAAGGATGGAATTTTTTACTTGCAGTAATACATGTGTACTTACTAGATCCGATTTCTTCCACCTGCGTAATATTGCTAAAATTAGAAACATCTTATCTAAAAATGATGCAGAAAAACTGGTTCATGCATTTGTCATGTCTAGACTGGACTATTGCAATGATTTTGTTATCTGGGTGTCCAAATACTTCTTTTAAAAGTTTTCAGTTAATCCAAAATGCTGCTGCCAGAGTCTTAACTGGAGTTGATAGGAGAGATCATTTCTCTCCAGTTTTAGCTTCTCTCCATTGGCTCCCTGTCAAGTCCAGAATTGAATTCAAACTCTTACTTCTAACCTACAAAGCTCTCAACAACCTAGCTCCATCTTATATTCGAGATCTTGTTGTTCTATATTTTCCTAACAGAGCACTTCGCTCTCAGGCTGCAGGCTATCTCACAGTTCCTAGAGTTTCCAGAAGCATAATGGGAGGCATATCTTTCAGTTATCAGGCTCCTCTCTTATGGAACCAATTTCTAGTTTCTGTCTTTAGGGCTGACACATTGTCCAGTTTTAAGACTGGTGTAGGAGCTATTTGTCTATTTTTGTTATCTTTGAATTTAGTTTATTGGTTCATAAATTAGCTTATTTTTAGGTTTGATTTTTAAATTAGTATTTTTGTTTAATCATAATGGTTTAGAATAAATTTGTTGGTTAGTAATTTGTTTAGTTTATTTATTTATTTTTTATTTGGGATGTGGGTATTAGAGGCATAAATATGAAGGCTGTAGGGAGGTTTGGAGGGACGTGGGTGGTCACATGTTTTTTTTACCAGTCAGAGGTTGAGCAACAGGAGGAGCAGTCATGCAGGAGCAGGTGTGTGAGGAAGGGCTCCTGCATATCAAATTGTTTGGCTTTCAAGTTGGAATAAATCTACCATAAACTGGATTTTTGGACATTTCCTTTGTACTGCGTTAAACGTAAACCCACGGAGCAACAAAGGACTATTTGAGTAACATTCTCCTTCAGTTAGATCTTCATTTTTTGTTTGTTTTTTTGTTTTCATGGACAAATAGTCACCACAACTGGGCTTAAGACTTTCCTTTTTGATAAAGACTGATTGGGGTTGGCTTGTCATGCTGTCTTAAGTTTAGACTACTAGAAGACAAACTGACCTCATTTCCTTAAACGATTTGCTAAAATTGAATAGTTTTCATTTGATATTATTTCTATCTTAACGTGATTCTTGACCTGCCATTGTGTATCTGTTCCTTCCTGTTCTTCTCAAACCCAGCCAGTCGAAGCAGATGGCCGCTTGTCCTGAGCCTGGTTCTGCTAAAGGTTTCTTCCTCATGAGGGAGTTTTTCCTTTCCACTGTCACTTTCATGCTTGCTCAAGATGAGAGAAGCAGTCTGTTCCTCAGATAAATACTGTTAAATTATTATTTTTAAAATATGAATGTTTCTGTTGACTTATTTTATATATTAATATTTTGGTTCAGTGCCCTGAGACGACTTCTGTTGTGACTTGGAGCTATATAAATAAACTGAATTGAATTTTACTTGCATGCTCTACTTGTGATTGCATGGGTTTTCCCTTGGTCCTCGGGTTTTCTCCAACAGACTAAAAAACACATGTTGAGTAAATTGATACGTTTTTTTTTTCTCCAGGCATGAATGAAAAGACGAATGGGTGGTTGTGTCTTTTTTCTTTCTTTTTTTTTCTATGTGGCCCTGTGATGCATTTGTGACCTGTCCAGGGTCTTCCCTGCTTCTTGCACAGTACACAAGCTGGAGATCAGCACCAGCTTCCCAGCAACCATGCACAGAAAAAAGTGGGTTAGGAAAATGTTAGCTGTTTCTATTAGACGTGTAATGATAGATTTATTTGTACCTGACTCCCAATTCATGTATCTAGGTAGATGTTAACTTTATTTTGCTAACTGCTGTGATTAAAAGTAGAAGAATGCACAATCTAAAGCACTCCAAAGCAAAGCATGGAAAATCTGTTTATTTCAAATCAGCTGTGTGGAAACGCTTTTCAGTCATCACGATCTGTCAAGAAAAATGAGAGATGCTAATATGGCAAGCCAAGTAGTCATAGTTTACAAGATTTGAAAGTCACTGTCAAGACAGGAGTGTATTTTTTCAATAATCCTCATGTCAAGTGTTATTTTTCCACACTCGCACTCAGGAAGATCAAACAGAGCCCCTAATCTCTCACTAATCCCCTCTCCCAAAAGACTCAATCAGATTAATCTCTTTATCAAAGTGATAAAAGAATAAAGTAAATATTATCATTAATATTATAAGTAATATTATAAGTAATAGTAGTTAAATATAGAATAAAGTAAATAATAAAGTAAATGGTTACAAACTTTTATTTGTAAAAGGTAAAGTGGTAGTTGTACAACAGAAATAACAACTACCAGAGTACTGTTTCGAGAATTACTCGTATAACTTTTCTTTAAAAACTAACAACAGAGTAATTTTAAAAACAGTCTTAAAAAACAAAAAATGTAGTTTTGTCAAGATATCTTCTTGATCCTGTCATGCAGCTGATTTTTGCAATTTTCAGCGATTTTATCTAAGTTCTTGACAATATGACAATAAAGAAATGACAATAAAGAAACTCTGACTCTGACTGACTATGACAGTGTTAAGAGAGCAGGACAGTTTTCACTTTATCCACTGCATGAGCCCCATACATCAACTCTATAATTTTCAGGCAGGCTGAAAAGGATGTTCTGTGGATGCATTCTCATCTACCTGCCAGCTGTGCTCGAGTGCCTGATCACTGAGATCCTGGAACTAGCAGGAAACACGGCTCGTGACAGCGGAAGGACAGGATCGTCCCTCGGCACCTACAGTTGGCTGTCCGCAGTGACGAGGAGTCGGCAGACTGCTGGGAGGAGTGGCCATCGCTCTGGGAGGAGTTTTGCCCAGCATTTGGGCGGTCCTACAGCCCGAGGGAAACCGAGATGCCAGCCGAGTCTGGGTGGACAGATCAGACGACATCTGCAGCCAGTTTCTTAGGATCCACTGTGGGATGGAACTTTACAAGAGATCTTTCCTGTTTACAACCATCAGTGTCTATAGCATCTCTTAATGAAATAAGTATAATGAGTTACAACAACAAATAATTTCCCTCTGGGATTAATAAAGTATTTTTGAATTGAATTGAATTGGTCATTTGCTGACATGCCTACTGGATTGATTGACAGGTCACAAACAAACAAAAAAGAGAGAGCTGGCAGCCCCAGCCCTAGCGGTGTTCTATGTTTATATGTTGTTAATAAAAAGTTCTAAAAACAAAACAGGGAGCGCTGGCCCTGCAGCCCACACATCAGACCAGCCCACCAGGAAATCTCCTGACCCTCCCGCAGCCACGCTGGACCTGATTTTAATTCGCTCATGACAACAATCTTTCATTTCTCACCATTTCAGTCATGATGTCAACGGAGGAGGAGGAAGCGGAAGAGATTGCTTGCCTTTTGGCAAAAAAACAAAACAAAAGAAAATGCCATTAAACCAGATCAGGGATGAAGAAGGGGAATTTAATACATCGGTGTCGCATAGAAAACAGTCCGTCACCGGGCAGTTTATTGTGCAACACCGAGTACGTGTACACAGTCATAAAAATTGAGCTTTGCACGGACATGCCCTGTGGGCGTCTGCTTCGACTCTAATCCGGTACGCGCGGACCTCCGCGGACTGATGTATGCCCGACTATACTGGAGCCTTTAGGAAGGACAGTTGTTTACCAGAAAGGTGGAGGATAATTAACATATGGTCCTTTTCCATTAGTAACGGTACAACCCGGTTCGACTCGGCACAGTTCCAAGGCTTTTCCACTAGCAACCGTTTGTGGAACTGGTCCCTTTTTTAGTCCCTTTTTCTCCGGGGTTCCAAGCGTGCCAAACTGGCACTAAAACGTGATGTCAGAACACTGTCGGTCACTGATTGGTCAGTGGGTGACACTGTCAGTCACTGATTGGTCAGGGGGTGGAGTCACTGGTTGTTTGAGAAATTTTCACAACAGCCCGATCCACTATTTGCAATAATTCGAACTCGAGGAGCGACTGGACCTATTTTTAAGATTTTAAAAACAATAATGACAACACCGTGGTCTAATGCTGAAGTACAGGCATTTTTTGTGCTTGGTGGCCAACGACAAAATTCAGAGCGAGCTAGACGGACCTTCGCTAGTGCCCCCGGTCCTCTCCACCGGAGCCACAGTAAAAGGCTGGGAGTCCTTCACTATGAAGTCCACAAGAGCGTATCTAAAAAAGTTAAGTCTGGTCCTCCAGAGGACCAGACTTAACTTTTTAGATTGTTCTACCTGGATTATTGAGCATGCATCAGGATGTTCACAAGAGCTTCATCAAGCTCTTTCTTCCTGGATCTTAAAAAAATATATAAATAAAGAAAATAATGAAAAAAGTAACACAGAATTAACTTACAAATATTTAACTGTCGGTGGCATGAGGCTGAGTGTTCTCGTGTTTGGCTCTATAATGCCTCAGCATTGATGACATATTATTATACATCAGCAGCTGTGGGCAAAGCAAACTCTGCACCTGTAAAACCAAGATAACAACCCGTTACTGCACCTCTTGCATAACATGATACCATGACTATAACTCTACTGCATAGTATAGGCTATAGGCTTTCTAATAAACATTTTGAATGTACATTACCTTATTAGATGGCTTCAAATCAAAATATTCCCACACTTGGGAACGCTTCCTAGATGGTTGCGCCATGACAGAATAATCCACCTAAAGTCCGAATATCAAAAAACGAGAGCTGTTCATAACTTATAATACGTGTAGAACGGGGATGTGTACCGGGGCTTGAGCCATCTTAAAGACACTGAATTGCGCCAAATGTTTGAAACTCTGCCTGTGAACTTGAAGCAGTCAGCTGACTCAGTCTGAATAAAGCAGTGAAGTGGTTCACACGTGATTGGTGATGTCACATGAAGCAAGCTCCGGCCCACTGCTTCACCATCGAAACTGTCAAGTTTGAAGCGTGCTTTGAAGCTTCAGTGTTAGAAGTAAATTCACTAAAAATAAGTCTGTAAATATTTACTTTGAGTAAAATTTTCTCTTTTTTTTCAGTCCATCACTTTTTGTCACGACACCTGTATCTTCTGAGAATGTAATCCTCGCAATTTGATCTGCTAAAGTTACCTGAGCTGAACAAAATTCATGCAACTCTGCCATCCTTCATGACTGTTGACCTAGCAAGTCGCTGCTAGCTGCTATGCTAGCCGTACCAGTGAGCAGGAAAACTAATGGATGACATGAAGGATCAGCCAGTGGGCGTGCAGGTCCAACCCACTGACATTGATTCACAGCTGAAGTCATTCTGCTGAAAAGTGGCATTATGAAATAAATAAGCCGTTGTGAAAAACATTATGAAATAAGCCATGAAAAACAGCATTATGAACTAAATAAGCCTTGAAAAAGACAATTATGAAATAAGTCATTTTTTCTTATTTCATAATGCTTTAATTATTGATTTATTTAATTTAGAGTATTTCGGTGTTCCACACCTCTGACACCACATTCTGGTCATCTCAGTGGGGAAATAAAATACTCTTTAGTCATGGGAGCAACAGTCTGCAGGAGTGGCCACCTGATCCACTATTTGTAAGACTGAGTTTGCAGTGCCTCAGACTTAAGAAGTCTTTTTAGATAAAAGAAGAAACGTTTCAACAACAACAACAAAAAATCCGTCCAGATGACCTGACATAACCTTGTTAGACGGTGCATCTGACGTCATAGATCACATGACTCAGACTAAACGAATCAAGCTCCGACTCAGCGCTAGTACGTCATTGTTTATGCGACTTAGCTTTAGCGTCCAACGGACCGTCTCTACTTTTTGTCGATTTACAAACTTTCTGTAACTTTTGGAGTAAATCCAACTTCTTGAGTTCGGCTCAGTAACTGTTAAATGAAACTTTAGCTCAAGGAAAGCTAACAGATGTGGAGACAACAGGCTAAATAAGGACGGGAAGCTGCAGCGGAAGAAATGTCGGAGTTTCTGAACAAGACGGGCCCAGATCATGAAGAGGAACTGTCTCGTTTAAAAGAAAAAATGCAACAAAATAAAATCCTGGATGCTGTTTTGAACCCCAGAGTTCTTCTGCACAGATTAGGTTTGTATAAATACATTTATCCTATTTAGTGTGATGATGTTAGCTGCAGTTTTGGTAGCTAAGTGACTTAGCATCTTTAGAGGACCAGGTGCTGTCGCACTTTTACCACTTTTATCTTTAAAATCCAGCCAGAACCTTGTTGACGGAACTCTGTCTTTTAGGATTGAACTGCAGGCTCCAACAGAGATGAGTGTTGGCAGTTTGATCAGACTGTAGGTGTTTCACGCGGAGGGGGCAGCAAAGCTGAACCTTTTTTTCTAATTCAGTTCTGACACAAGGAACAGACAGGACGACGTTGTTGGAGCGTAAGGCGTAGTGGTTTATTTTGTATTTTAAGAAATGTGCCTAAATAAGATGGAATAAAGAGAAAGAGATAAAGAGCAGCCAGATTTAGAGTACAGCTCACATTGATGAGTGAGGTGACTGTAACCAGTGATGAACCTCAGAGCACTGTGGTAAATGTGTCTAAGGACTGCAGATATTTGGAAGGGACTCTCATGTGCAGCACATCACCATAGTCCAGTAAGGGCAAGGTGTTCCTTACTTGCTGAGTGAAAAACATAATTAATTTCTAAAATAAAACCTGTCTGTGCTGTCTGTGGAGGACATATATGATGCGTACATTATTGGATTTATGATAACAGAGTTTCTGCTTTTTGGAATCGGTGGATACCTTTTGATATCGACAAATTAGGAAGACGTCGGCAGTAGTTTTGACCATGGTAAATCTGTCAGCCTTATGTGAAGGATTAATCTGTGCCTTGAGCTCTCAAACTCGTATGCTTACCGAGCTCAACCACAAGCTGGACACGATTTCTAAGAATCATAGGCCACTTGCGGCTCCTGAAACTCGCCAGCACGAAGCATTCAATCTTGGAGAATGCTAAATCGAGCACGGACCAGGTGGAATGTCCACTAATTCTGGCTGTTTGGATTTGCCATTGAGTGCACCAGCAGAACTTGAAGGCAGACAGAAAACAGAGCCTGGCAGCCCAAACAATTGTTGTTTATCTGAAATTGGACCTCCCCACTGGCCTTGGACAGGCCAACTTATCTCAAATTGCTCCTGGAGGATACGTAAACTAGAAGCTCTGCCCCCCTTCCCAAGGACATCTGTGGCCCTATCAGAATGCTGATAGACACTGTACCATCCTATCAGGACTTTGGAACTTTTTTCTGTGTTTATGGCTGACTAATCGGCTTTGTCAACCTCTATGCATAAATATATTATGATTAGGGATGGGGCCGATCCAATATCAGTATCGGACTCCGATACAGCATAATTTATGTATCAGATTTTTCTGATCCAACCTTCAGAGATTTCCGATCCATGACGCACGTCTAAGTCTGCTGAAACATCTCTGCGTGTGATTCCCTGCCTGCTGATCTGCAAGTTGGCTAGATTTTCTGATCAGAGGCGTGTCTCGTGAAACCCAGAGTAATAAGACCCGCCTCACATTCAGGAAATCCATTTCATAGTTTGCAGCCAGCTAAAACGTGAGCAGAGCAGCACTGTTGCTAACGGCTAACCAACTTTTCATCGAAACATGTCCACTGTGTGGAAGTATTTTACACTAAACATCGCAAGACAGCAACGTGCAATGTCTGCAGAGCTGCTGTACCGAGAGGAGGCAGCTTGGTCACGACCTACAATACATCAAACATAAACATAGCACCACATTAAACCACGGTAAGTTTTACGTTGGACATTGGAGCTCCGTGGCTTCAGCGGTGTGTTCTTCTCGTTCATTTTGAAGAAGGCAGTCTGATTTCGGTCAGCCAAGGTCAGTCTGCCCATCTTGGAGGAGGGGCAGACTGAGCACGGCTGACAGAAATCAGACTGCCTTCTTCGGACTGAACGAGAAGAACACTTTGCTGAAGCCACGGAGCTCAAATGTTTACCGAGAAGTTGCTAAACTTCATCGTAATTAATTACCAACCGCTATCAGTTGTAGAAAACGGAGGATTTCGCAGCTTGATACTTGCAGCCAAGATATAGTTTACCCTCCAGAAGATTTTTATCAGTAGAACAGTAGACAATCATAAAAAGCATATGAATTAATAAATACAAGAAAATTGTATATAT